ATATAAGATACTTACTATAATTAAAAATAACAATCAGTAAAATAAATAGCAAATAGAGATTTAATTATTAATATTGCCGTTTTTTCTATCATATATTTGATGGGTGGCTCGCGTCTGATTTTGTACTACACGTAGAATTAAATCACCTGACGTTGAGTTTGTACAATGGGAATGTAGAATAGAAGACAAATTGTGCAAATGTCAGTATTACAGTGCCAGCTTCCAACAAAGAAGGAGTTTATAGCATTAGCAAGTCAAGCTGGGGTTATGGTTTATGGTTTATTGAAAGCAATAAAACAATTCATGCCTGCAGAGTATATTTGGTAGATAGAAATAAGAGCCACGGTACATGTGAAGGCGATGCTAACAGAATATGAGAGCGGAACTTAATGTTGTTACAGCAAATGAATCAGATAAGCGATTAAAATCTTTCTCCGCCGTGGACCAAAACCTCTGCTCGATTACTCTTGCCGAATTCTGCTTATATAAATACGAGTGAAATTCCATTATCAAAATTCATTCCGTTCATACCTGAAGTTATCAAGTGTTGAAAAATAATATAGCAGCGATGGTTGACTGACTAGTCAAAATGCAATCGTGCAATTAAGAATTAAAGTATTCCCTCGATTCGAGGATTTGTTGTTATATAATTGGTGGTACCCTTATAGTAGAATAGGCATCGTGTTAATCGGACTTTCCTAATCTAATAAGAGCTACTGTAAGTCACGAACCGTAACATTATCAATTATTTAATGTAACAAGTTTTATAGTAAATAACAAGTCGTCTATTTCCATGAATATGCCAAATCTATTCGTAACAGGGGATGACTGTGCATTTTTGTCATAAAACTTGATTGCGAGTATCTCTCATAGATTTCGCTTGGGTCCGTATTATTTCGTCGACAATCATTTCACCGACAGTACGTTTCACCGATAATTAACTACTAAAAAAGGATAAATTCGAAATAATGTTGGTAAATGATTGCCTCCCATTTCGCTTACTACATTTGTGCGACGACGACGAATGACCCGACTTATGACACCAATCTCACTTGGCGATGCTCCAACGTCATTGTACAGTTAGAAAATAATAGAATCAATTTTCCTACTGACCCAAAAGTACAATAAATGCCACGGATACTCCGACAGACTGGACAATGATCCAAAACAAAAGAATCGAGATTTCCAGATTTTGAAAACAATTGCTGGTAAAACTATATTTTCGTACGACGATTGTTATTGGATGACAAAATCTTTTGGATCAAAACCACACTTTGTGTATTTTGATACGTATCAGCATGATTCAAGAAAGTAAGGAACAGAATTTGACCTTGTTGCTGGTCATCTGAAAAACTATATCTTTAAATGGGTATCATGCGCTTCATATTCGACAGTAAAACGTGTATATATTGGCGGACTATCCAAGGATGTCATTGAGGAAGATATCGCTAATCGGTTACGTCCATTTGGATCGATAAGTAATGTAGACATTATCTATCAACAGGAGACTGGTAATTATGTTAGCGACTTGTGCTGACTTTTATATGCTTTAACTAATATCTTTAATATCGTTTGTTCCAACCTTTGCAACATTCCTATCGTTAGGTGAAAGTCGCGGCTTTGCATACGTTACAATAAAGACGACTTCAACTTTGTGGAAAAAATGTAATGAAGCGGATAAGCAAATTTGTACTCTATTCAGATTATGTTGGAATTTCGATAACGATAAACCCAATTTCAATCAGGCGTTTCGACACTCAACGGTACAATTTGGAAGGGTATGAAATTACGGATAGAAGACGCCAAGCCCGATTACAAACAACGGTATTTTTAATACCATTCTTGAGAAAAAAAACGCATTGACGCCGTCACTTTTATTTATTTGTTTGTTTTTTAACTAAAGTTTGCAGGATCAATGGGAGCAGGAACGTAAACTGGCCGGGTCTCAAGTATCAGGTGCACGTATGTCGAAGAAGAGAAAGCAAGAGACGGTTACTTTAGCAGATAATATGAGTTTGATTACTGACAAGAATGTCGACGGACGTAAGGTTAGGACTCGAGCGTGAAATTAAGTTTACTGTCATTTGTCACATGCGATCTGATATTGTCATAACAATACTCCTGTTCAAAGGGATGGAAAAAAGTACGATACGGAAGAGCAGTTGCTGTCATGCGACTCCGCAAGGATGATGGAACAAAGGTGTTATGGGGGTCACAATAATTTCAATTACTCGTGAGGATCCGTTATTTGGGTATTCGTTCTTACATTTCGATCTCTTGTCTAGTTTGTGTTTAACCCGCAGCATTATCAAAATAATCTCAAACGGTTTACTGAACGCGATTGGGAACTATTGAAACAGATGCCGTCTGACACATCGTTGTCGTTAACGTGTGAAGTTGATAATAAGCATAGTGGTAAGCGAATATTCTCAAGTATGCTTTATTTAACACTTTTCCCGTTGACTGGCTAGATATTTACACTCAAATATAACTATTATGCAGAAGTCAAAGATAATTCAACAATCAAAAATAACATAATACAGAAGACAATGTCTGTTACTCCTACTGCTACTTCTACTATTACTGCTTCATCTGCCTTTGCGCTTTCCCCAACGATAATAGATGGATTGAAATCGAAATTTATGGATTATAACGACAACATGGGAAATCCAGGGATATTCTCGTCACAATCATCGTCAGTAGCGGACGGACTAAAACAGTTGACCTTGGGTAAAGATGTTGATAAACAAGATCAAAATATGAAGGCTAAGCAGGTAATGGAATGGTCTCTTGCCGTTGGTGGATCGTATTGATTCTCGACTTGCATTTGGATGCTAACAATTGTATGTGTTACAGGAACGCTCCAATCGACAACGACTTGAAGCGATTGAAAAACGTGTAAATGAAGAGAGAAAAAAGAAGAGAGCGATAAGCGATAATCAGACGTCTAAGGTGAGGCGTTTTAGAACCCATTAGCTGGTTATCTGGCTGCCCAATCTGACTTTTTTGTTTTTACCGATCGATAGCTGAACAAGCACGTAAAATTCACAGAAGAAGGGAGTAGAGATAAATTATCCTTGTTTGCATCGGATGACGACAGTAACTATTCTGACAATAACAGCGGGGATAATAGTTTATTTGGAAAAATAGGTATGCGGTTTTTTTTAGCAATAACAGTTTTTGTGTCCGCGAGACGATACTAAACAATTTTATCTTTTTTGGGAATAGACATAAATCCTGTATTTGAAGGCGCATCTGGTCACAAGAGACTTCAATTACAATCTCAGTTCCACGGTGATCGTCGTTTCAATTTGACTGAAGATTTCATGAGCGACAGTGATGAAGACACACAAAATGCAGAGATAAATAGAGCCAACGATAAGAATGACATAAATGGAGACGAGGAGTTTGATGACGAGATATCACGGGCACTAAGTGAAGAGAAGGCAAACCACATGAATATACTCAAATCAATGTTTGGTAACGGAATACTCAACAGAATTACTAGAAAGTAATGTATCTAGAAACGATGGTTCTATTTGCTGTCCAGTCGAACGCTAATTATCGAATATTCCTATTATACAGAAAAGCTCCTGAGTGGAAAATACGAAGATTTGATCCTGAGGAACCTAACGACGATTTGGAGATAGTACAAGACATTGAAGGTTGTTACTTATTACTTGCATGCTGGCTGGATCATATGATTTTTCTCATTCACATTATTGTCTATGTAGACTTTCCCACGAAGAATCTAGCTTCAACACCTATGTCGGTTGTGCCAAAGGACGTGCGAATCGAGATAAGGGCAGATCTAAAGCAGTTGTTCACTTCAAGTGCGGTGAAATGTATGTCGGTCTGATATTTCAGTTGATCTATTGATACTCGTGTGATCGTATTGCGAACCTTATTAACGGTCTCAATGTTCTATAATAGCTAGTTCTGGATTCTCACTATTCGGACGCGACGATGAAAGCTCAGAAGACCTTTCCCAACAGCTTTGATGCCCTCGGTCAAATTTGGGAATATGTCAAGTGATGCTCAACATTTCCAAATAGGGTCGTATCGTATTTATTTACCTTTATAATTTAATAAAATTTATGCAATTAGACACATAAATAACGCCTTTCCTAAGAAGACCATTATGATGATGCATCCATCTCACATACAAATGGAGAATAGTAATCTGTCAATACAAAAAATCGAATGATTGAAACAATGGTAAAAAATCGGATGATCCAAACAAAAAAGGGAAATTGAAAATGTTTCATAAGCGAATTTATCAACTGTTACTATCACACGCCACCTTAAACTCAAATTTTAAAATGAATACTACCATTTGTGAAATTTCTTCTTCAAATTGCGGACAAGACAAAATGGTTATATTATGGTCAAGAACAGGAACCGCAATAACTTGTATTACTGGAGTTGTGAAAAGCATAACTCGTTATATTGCAACGGTCGTGCAACTACTATATTTATTGAAGGTCACCATCGTCTCCGACAGGCATCGGACCATAATCATGGCGCAGAAGCAAGCCGCACAACGGTTCTGAGAACCATTAATTCTTTGAAAAAGAAGGGCAAGAGAAACTGAAGAATCACCCGCACAAATTATTCAAACCGTGGTGACTAATAACCCTTCCGAAGCACACCCATATCTTCCATCAAGCGAAGCATTACGGCAATCAATTAAACGCCTTCGGCGCTCTAATCTTCCGACACCCCTGGAGGATCTTACCATTCCTGAAAATTTAAGAGAGTTATTTTGAATGGATGGTGTAGACAACCATTCCCGTAGATCAGAAGAGTGTTGCAGAAGGCTATTTCAGGACATAATATATTAGATGAACACGACATCCAACTCCAGCCGCAGTTTATATTGACAGATTTTGAGCAAGCTGCTATAAATGCTGCTCGTGCCGAATTCCAAGGTGTTCAAAACAAAGTATGTCATTTCCACTTGGCACAAAGTGTTTATCGAAGAATACAAACCAATGGGCTGATATAACAGCGATGAAAATTTCAATTTGTTAGTTCGTCAATTTCCTGCGCCCGCATTTTTACCTGCGGGTGATATTCATTCCTCCAGCATTCGATTCGACCAATTAAAAATCTGGTTTGAGGATGGCAGGGTAAGACGTGGCATTGTTTCCACCTGCTTTCTGGTCTGTTGTCGACAATATGGAGTATGCGTTCCCTCGAACCCAAAATTCCGTAGAAGCTTGGTATCGAAGGTGGGATACATTGGTGGGCTCCGCTCATATAGGTGTTTTCAAAATCATAAAAAAACTACAGAAAGAGCAAAACCAAGTCGAACTTGAAATAGAAGTAAATGTGCGAGGTGCTCCACAACATTCTCAGAGAAAGGTTATTGCACGGGAAAGGAGAATACAAACAGTTTTTAATAACCGGGACAATATGTCGCTTGCAGATTTTCTTCGGGGTATTGCTCATAATATTATATTTTAGTTATTACAAGTGAAACTCGATATAAGAAGCTCTCGATATAAGAAACACTAATTAAATGCTCGTTAATTTTGCTAAAAATAACTTCTAACAAACAAATAACCTTATAAGTCAACATTTGATATAAGAGTTGATCTAAAAATAGTCTATATGAAACTATCTCTATATAAGAAAGTTACTAATAAACTCTCGGTATACTAAGATTTTTTACCATGGGTCACGATCACTTTCTTATATCGCAAGCCACTTGCATTGTTATCAAAACTTCTACATAATAAGTCTTATGTATGCTCCAAACTAAAGTAAATTATATACAAGGAAGGCTATTATCTTTGTGCTGTGACTGTTACTGTTATCAATGCAATAGCCAATAAATATGTCAATTTCAAGTATTTAAGAATCTTGGTTGTTGTGTTATTTATATTAGAGAATTTGCGTAAACATCAAATCGCGACGAACGAAAAATATAAGTAACTCAAACTTACATGTACTCATATTTAATCCCATGTTAACGATAGCAATGTGAATACGTTTCAGACTTATAAGGCAGCAGGATTCTTCAAAGACTTTATCTGTATGTAGAATTCGTATTATAATGACAGTTATTAAAGCAAAATTTAGCATTAAAGCTGCTGTATGTTTGGAACCTATCCATGTCCATTGGGACATGTGTCAGATGTGAATTTTATGTCCATTCCAAATGGACATTTATGCCAAATTGGAACAGTAGAAACAATCAGGCAGCAGCGCATTATAAGAGTATTTACCGAAATTATGATATCATCCTACTGCATATAATCACTGACTTTGTTATAAAAGCAGTAATATCACAAGTTACTTGCCTTTATATTATAAACACTTTTGAATCTTACCTCATGATATACATAACAATGTATTACGGCACTGTCGATTTTTAACATAAAATAGTCAAACTCCATAAAGTTTGTTGTTTAAGAGGCAGCTTTAATTCTTTTATGTAAATCCCGGTAAACGCAGATGGCTTTAGTTTATTGACGACCGAAATTAATTGAATCATAATCTACCTGCCGAGATATGTATGGTGTCCAGCGACTTTTTAAACGTTGTCTTTCGAGTTTACATCCAAACCTCTGCTCTCATAAACCACCACATATACATATACTAAATAGTTACTTGACAAAAGATATCTTTCAAGTTATGGTTTTCCAAGTCCTCGATTTACACCTATTGGCAGCGTACCTTCAGATACAGTGACAATTCAACAAATACTCAGTAAGAATTCTTAGACCAATAAAGGACTCAAAAACTCAGTAAGAATTCTTACCTTTCAAAGGGGACGTGCGACAAATGGTTATGTTTATTCAACATCCTTTTTCTGTATGCTTGTTTTCTTTTTTTTCTTCTTCATTATTCGCACTGTTAATTACGTATTCATTCTGGCGATTGAGGGCGAGGCAACCATCCTAATTTCCGAGAGATCATATAGTAATAATATCCCGGTCCAGTGAATAAGAAAAACCTAACTTGAATAGGTTGTATTCGCTTATCCTTGTTTCCATTGAGAGCTAGCTTTCAGAGACGTCAATGACGAGAAAGGTGTCGTGCCTTTAATCCAATGCTGTTGTTAAGCGTATTATAACTTAAAAGTTCGCGGTATTTGATTTTGTATCGCTTTCCAAGTTAATTAGATTGAGTTACACAATTACACGTATTGGCTCTCTCGCTTTTAGCCATCTTCACCTCCACCTTGGGTGGTTGCTGCCTCAGTCACTGTCGAGCCCGTAAAGCATCTGCAGTTACCATGAAACGATAGCAAATTAATAATGTAAGTGTCACTTTCGATGCGATTCAAATAGAGAATTTCTTTACGAAAACTGTTTTTCGGTTTGCCAGTGGCTCGTCTATTAGATATATGGAACGCAGAATGAAGTTAGCGAGCATCTATAAGTTCGTTAACGAAGGTCCGGTTTAATGAAGATGTCTTATAATAAAGTTTTTACGGAACCAAGTCATTCATCGTGTTTAGCTCCGATTGAACAAAAGTTTTGTAATTAAAAACTGTATAATAATAACGATGTAACTAATAAAATAACAATATGTACCCATGTCTGTTATAGCATTACCGTATATAGAGATTTGAATAACACACACCGAATATACTGTATGTCTAATTCGTCGTCCATGATTGTGAGGAACAAGCATCATAAGGACGTAGAATTTAAACGTCTCCGGATCAAAGAAATCCCGTATTAGAGAAAAGTTTCGTTTGCTCAAGCTGTAACAGCTCTTGATGACCTCAGCCAATACGTAAACAAATTGTTGAAAAAAGTATTGTAGCAAAAAAAATAGACATGTTTAGAGATATTTATTTGAATAATTGTGCCATTTTAAATCCCACACCCATTATTTACTAACATGTTTTAACGTATCTTGTTCTACAAATTATTAAAATAATACAATGATAAAATTGGCTAGGTTGGTCTACAATACCGTTAGGCTAAATATCTGGAATAAACAGGGCAAGTTGTTTGGAATCTATTCAAAACAAATTATGATTAATATGATTTTAAAGTAAGTAAAACAGACGCGCCAATATATCTTAACACAAAATAATACATACCAGACGTCATTTCTTCGCTAGAACTTTCAGGACCAGCCTGATTAAAACCTGATCAATGGCATATAATAATAAAGCATCAAGTTAATAAATCGACATTATGCTTAATTTTAGAATTTCCAATATTAAAAAAAATGTGTCCACTCCACAAGAAAACCCTACCGAGATTGTTTTCATTTACGTTTATCCGGAGACTTTCTGGGCTAAATACTCTACTGAAATAAACTGCTTCGGGATGAGCTGGTTTCTCTGTTAATTTGGCACGATGACTTTTTAACATGTTCCTAGCCCTTTCGAGTGCTGAAATGTACCCATCACGATCTTGATTCCACAAGTTTATATCGAAAGCAAGTTCGTAAGCGGATGGACGCTTGTCTGGGTCAGGATCAACGCATCTCTTGTATACAATTCTATAGAATTCTGGTGCCCAAGGACTCAATTCCGGTCTAGCACCTTGGCAAATGTTTTGAGCTAGCGACATATCATGAGCTTTATGCTTGAATGGAGTGTCTCCCATTTCAAACATCCACATTATGAGCCCAAATGCATAAATATCTGCTTTCTGAATGTAAGAATTGTGTTTGAAGAATGTAGATATACAATATATACGACACTACACAGAAAGAAGCCATAACAAATACCTGCGTGTATGGTTTACCGCTAAGAACTTCTGGTGCAACATATGGCATCACTCCAAACACTTCTTTATACTTCTCGGCTTCATCTGCGCGAATTGAAAGCCCATAATCCGTGAGGTCTGCGTTATTTTCTCTGCTCTCAATAAGAATGTTCCCTGCATGGATATCCCGGTGTATCATACCCGTCGCATGGAAATCTCTCAAGCTATCGGCTAGCTTTAAAAGAATCTGTAACTTGCGACTCCATGAGAGGTCAGGATTTTTGCGCAAGAAGGTAGTCAAATCCCCAAGATCTGCATAATCCATGACCAGAATATATTTGCCTGTAGTATCCAAGCGTGATACACCCAGAATACACATTTTTTGCACTGCGGAATTCTGGAGTTTCGAAACCACTGCCGCGCCCACGCTCAACTGTCATAAGAGAAAAGAACAAGAAATTGAGAATCTGTCAGCGATACTGAACGTTTGCATTTGAGAAACTCACCTCTTGCAAAAAATCGCCGTCACTGCCATTTCTATCAAAAAGAAGTTTGACTGCAACCTTTAGAGATTCTCTTCGCACAACGCGTCTACCGTCGTCCCCAAAATCTACCCCCACATATTTCCCATCTGTCCAGTCCGCAGCATAGATTTTTCCGAATCCTCAATTAAATTATCGAGATGATCGGGTTGAATCCACCGAAGACACACAAAATTGTGCTTGTCCGCCTTTTCTTGTGTGTTTCGTATGATTGCATCATAACTGGCATTACCCGTTGTCCAACCTTCCATTAATTCCTTTTTATCACATTCATCGCACCAAAAGTCTTTATTCGGAAACATTTTCCCGCAGGTAGAACAAAAGCCATGTGACACCGACGCATATGTACCAGTGGCCTCAATACGCGATATTCCAAAAAGTGTCAGTTTTCTGCTGTGGCCGCTCTTTTGGCAAAGTGACAATGCTCCTTCCTCCAGCTATATTCCGCCAAAAAAAAAAAGAAAATTCAGAAGCAAAAGAACAACTTATTATCGAGCATATCATCAATCAAAGTCATAATATCGTCGAGATTTAATTATTACCTCACGTAAAAGCTTATCTTCGGATTGATCGTTCTCAGGGAAAACCTTGAGAAAAACCTTCATAGATTCCCAAATCTCTCGCTTTTCACCAGACTCGTCGTTATGGAATCCCTTAAAAGACCCATCAAGCCAATCTGCATAATATAACGTTCCGAACTCCCCGCAGACAACTTGGACCAGATTCTGAATTCGATCGGGGGCAATCCATTTGAGACAAGGGTACGGAACCACATTATCAACGTCCTTTTGCGTTTTTCTGATCATTTCATCATATTTTTCGTGACCGCTTGTCCATCCTTCCATTAATTCCTTTCTCTTACATTGTCGACACCAATGCTCAACGTCCGTATTCAAAAACCAGCCACAGTTGTCACAAACACCTCCTGACACTATTCCCAACTTATTCGTCTCCGTCTGTCTTGTAATTCCAAAGACGCGTAAGATAGTATTACCATATCTTTCCCAATCCTTCAACTAAAAAAAAAAAAAGAGACATAATTTAGTTCATCAATTCGAAACATAAATTTTTGCTGCATCTCAGTATTTTCTTTTACCTCTTCAATGCAGTCAGTTTCATCTTCGATGATTTTAACTGTTACTTTCTGCGGATTCCACCGATGAATGATGCGTTGATTTTCATCAAATTCCCAGGAGTTATATTCCCAGTCCAACCATTCTCCGGTATATAGTGTACCAAATGTACGTGTCCCACTTTCTACTAAATCTGCAAGTCGATCCCATGGGATCCATTTGAGACATGTGACCCGAAATTCATCAACGTCTTTTTGCGTCTCTCGGATGATAGTGTCGATTTCTTCATTGCCGCTAGTCCAACTGAACATTAACCGTTTTGGATCACATTCTTGACACCACACCTCTTTAGGATCGCCAGACCCGGAACCGAAGAAAATGCGGCCACAACTCAAGCACGCGCCAGAAACTACCAGTGCATACTTTCCACTTGAATCCGATTTGGAAACTCCCCAAGGTTTCAGTTTTGGTTGCCAGTTTGGTATTGACTTTTGAAGACCCCATTGGCTCGCTTCGATTGCCTGTGTCACGCATTCCTTCAGCTAATTGAAAGGAAGGTTATTGTGTGAATCGAACTATAATTCACAGCTCCAAATATCAAACCAAGTACCTCTTTCAAAAAGTTTCCGTCATCATTGCCGGACATTTTTGGGAAAAGTTTGACGATTACACGGCAGGTGACCCAATTGTGAATGATATGTTCACTGTCCGCATCATCAGTAGTATATTTATATTGACCGTCAACGAAATCAGCTGCGAAAATACTGCCAAAAGATCCTTTTGAGATTTCAACCCTATTTTGAAGCCGATTCCAAGGAATCCATCGAAGACAATGGTATCCATGCCAGTTTCTATGATATCCATTCTCTTGTGACTCGCATATGATTTTATCATATTCTGAATTTCCACTTGTCCATCCCTCGGTCACTTGTTTCCAGTCACAGTCTTTACACCAAGCATTGTCATCTGGGTAAAAGACACCACAAGAATGACAAGCCCGGCGACTCACAAGAGCCAATTCTCCTGTTGAACCAAGTCTTGATAAGCCAAAAACTCTTGCCTTTGTAGGATCCCATTCTTCCATTTCTAAGAGCTGCTTAAGCTCCGGATCCTCTTTCATCCACTTTTTTTTTGAAGCGTCAACTCTATTTAGGGCGAACAGTCGTTGAAGTTTGCAGAAAATTTCCGCACCATCATTCAGCTGCGATTCAGGAATAATGTAAGTAAGAAAATAAGATTACAAGGGGGGGAAAAGTGGCAGTTATATACATACTTCTTGCAACATAGTCTCGTTGGTATCGTCTTGATTGGCTACAGCAGGAACTTTGACTGATACTTTCATAGCTTTTCTGCAGCTAACAACTTTTAGTTCGTCATCAAACTCAGTCTTTACCCGAACCAATTCTGCCGTGTAAAGCTTGCCAAATTCGCCGGTGCTGATCTCTACAAGGTTTTCAAGACGCGCAGATTGTATCCATTGAAGACTAGGGTAGTAATATGCTGACTCGTCCTTTGTATAGGAATCCTTGATAATTTTATCGTAATCGGCGTTGCCGCTGGTCCAACTGTCGCCCAATTTATGACGTTCACACTCATCACACCACTCTGCTGCTTCCGGGAGAGCCTGGCCACATATAGCACAAAAATTGCTTGCCACCAATGCCAATGCTCCAGTAGACTCGATTCTTGTCATACCAAGTATAGGCAACCGTAGTGGATTCCCAAGTTCAGCGCCAGCTTTCAGCTATAATGATCAAATAAGGTTTGCAGTTTTAATAAATAATTAGACAATTTTATTAGTACCGTCAAAATTAATTTACCTGATTCAGAAATGACGAAGTATCAGCTCGGAGTAAGACTCTGGTAGTTTTCCAATGCAGTACAATATTAAGATCTTCGCCTTCACAATCCCACCCATTATATTCTCCCATTGACCAATCTGCTGTGTAGATGGTCCCATACTTAACCTTAGCCAACTCGCTAAGATTTTGTAGTTGATCAGGTGGGATCCATTTCAGACAAGAATATGAATATGAACTTGCGTCTACTTGTGTTCCTCGGATGATTGCATCATACTCGTCATTTCCTGTAGTCCA